CTAAAGCTGGTAGCGATTCACAAGGTGTGTATCATACGATTCTTCTATTAAGGATAAATTAGCTGAATAAGTATTTATGATTAGGATACTTTTTTTATTACTTTTTCCAAAAACGCATTAGGATCTTTTTGGATATCAGTTATTCGAGATATCAATTTTTCATAATGTATGTCACTGAACTTTTCCTCAAACAGATTGACMTCTTTCATAAAGTAATGAGGACACCTTTTGTTCAMTAGACAACTTAMTAACGTGTCAAGAGCACGTCGAAATCTTACGTTTAACTGATCTTCTGCCCAYAAAGATGAATCGGGATTTACTTCTCTCTCATACAACATGATTGTCTTCAGGTGATAAGATGTGAATGGRGTCAGCGTTACATACTCTTCACGAAATGYTTTGAGAATACGCAGTACCTTCTTCCAGCATGGCTCTAGTYGTAATACAAGCTTCATCTCTGCARCAGAGAAGGAGTACCTCCAGAGGTATTCACTTYCTTTGGCAGATGCTGGTTTAGGTCTTTTACCAACAAGATGACATYCATCTTTAACTATGGYRTCAATCAACTCTTTTGGTGGCCAACCTATAAAGGTCAGGAAGCAAACTTAACAAAACTGTTGTAGTTTTGTCAAACCTCAAAAATCAAATATTTTTGCCTCGGGTATAGTAGTCAACAAATCATATTCCTTTTAAGCATTAAAATCACAAGTAACGTCATGGGAGGGGGGTGGGGGAGGGCAGTAGATGTGCAATGGAAGGGTACAATTTTCAAATTGGGGGGGGGGGGGGGGGTGGGGGTTACATTGTTTGTTTGTTTGTTGAATTCAATAAATAAATAATTTATTCATTTACTGATTGATTGATTGATTAATTGACTAAAAACTGCCGGGGATTATTGGGAGATATATAGTAAAGGGTTATTTTGGTGTGAAACGTGAAATGACTGTTTTTATTATTTCGTGAAACGATATTGGACCGTTTTTATCAGTCATTTATTTATTATTTTGAATT